CTCGATGGTCACCACCCCCTCATTTCAGTTTATTACCTACACCTCCCTAAGTACGGAGCCCCAAAGACTTCCGGACAGCTCCGACGTCCGCTAGCGCACCCCCGCCTCCGCTGGGCAATACACTCGCCTGCCCTGCAGAGTCCACCTTCGGGCTTATCCCTCCTTTCCGTTTCTGGGTTATCGCCTGCCTTTCCACTAACCCTGTGAACCGACTCGTCGGTAATATTCAGTCGGCTAATGTCTAAACCCCGTTAGCTCCGCTCCGTTCGGCTCCGCCAATTGCGGACCCGTCTCTGCTGTAACCATATATATATCCCACTTGTACATAGGTTACACCCCAGTAGTAAAATCAACTAGAGTTACCCCCCCTAGGTTCTAATTGCCAGTCAGTAAGTTAGGGCACGGACGTGTCACTAGGCACAGCGCTCTTGGCAGAAGTCGCTGAGGCCGAAGCCCTCCGTTATGGAGACATTCCTTCGTCTCGAATCTGGTCTCTGACAATTCTAGCCAGTTAGTCATCACCCCCACTTCACCTCATCCTCCTGCCCCTCTGGGCTTCACCCCCCCTATCTCCTTTTGGATGTACCACAGGTTCTAACCTATGACCTTCGGTGCCGCTCCACTTCTGTCATCCCTTTGTCCCCATTCGGACACCTTTGTTCCGATTCGGACCCCCTTTTGTTTCCTCGTGCTTTCACCTCTCTCCATTATATACAGGTGCTTGTACATACTCGTTTTAGGCCCTCAGTCTAAAATCGACCTGAAATGCCCCCTAGAGACTTCCTGCTCATCGCCTCTGAAATTAAGGACCAAATGGACAAACAGCAATGGCACAGCACTCTGCATGAGTCGCTGAGGCCAAGGTCCCTCCTTGCTAAGTCTCCGGTTCCCCTCCAGAATCATCCACCCTTGCCCAGTTCTAACAGTAACTTGGCAGAGGTTTTGCAGAAGAGGGTTGGAGGGAGAAGAGTGGGAAGAGGAGTGGAGGAGGCACAGTGTCAGGTCTGAAGGTGAATATCGGAGCAGATGGAGGTAGGGTAGGAGAGGGACAGAAGGGTGGAGGTGATGAGGAGTGATGAGGAGTGAGAGGAGGAGGGTGGCAAGAGGGGTGATGTTCGGTCCGAAAGTGAATATCTGTCAGGGGACGAACCCCAGGTCCCCATGACCCCTCTCTCTACAACCCACAACCTAACTGTAAACAGCCCTGTCCAGGGCACAATCTGCTGTGGGTAAGAAAGTGAGAAGAAGGTTACTTCTCACTGACCCACAGTGGCCACAATATGAGGAAAACTTCCGGGGATACCCGGAAGTCACATGAAGGCAGGATCCGGGGACCGGAGCATGCGGCACAGGAAGCACGTGTGGGAAGTGGAGTGGGTCCGGATGCGGGTCCGGGTCCAGGCTAAGTCAGGGTATGTGCCCTGACAATATCGGAGCAGATGGGGATAGGGTAGGACTCCGGAGGTGGTGAAATGGAGGGTCCAGGAGTCAGACTGGGATCGAGTTTGTACAGATATGACAGTGACCATTGGGGTAACCAGAAGGTTGCAGAAACTGGAGGCTCCGAGGTTAGTGACAAAGGAGTGGAGGCAATCCAGAAGGGCTGGAGGTGGTGGAGGGTGATGGCTGTGGATGGATATGACAAAAGCTCTATGAGCTCTATGAGCTCTATGGGCTTGGTGGGCTCAGTAGGCTCATAGAGCTCATATACCTTTTGTGTTTACTAAAATCAGCACCTTATTTGTTTATTGCTATTTACAAAATTTGAGGAAAACTCTGAAATTCAAAAATTTGCACTTTATCTTTTATCTCATTTCTTGCTCAAAACTCAACCAATTTTGATGATTCTATGTGAATTGGAAAGCACTGAAGTGTGGCAATGTAACCATGCATGTTATGTAGGGTATAAATCAGTTTTAAAAAGTGTTCCAAATGAAGTAAATTAAAAATACTGCCCAATAAAGCAAACAAAAAGCTGATGTATCCTTCTGATATCATCCAAGCCTTTGACACCCAATTTCCCATGGTCAAAAAGCCATGGTTATTTGGCTCACCAAAGCATGGTGGGATCCTTTTTTAACACTGAAACATACATTGCTACATTGCCCCACTTTGGCACTTTCCAATGCACATTGAATTATCAAAAAAATGATTTTAATTTTTTTTCCAATTATTCCTAATTTCCTGAAATATCACACCCCAAAATTTCCGATTTTTCCCCTAATTTCCCCTGATTTTTTGGACATTCTCCTTTTTTAGAAAGTCCCCCATTTTCTGAATTTTCCTTAATTTTCCCTGACTTTTTTTCAAGTTTTTAGAAACCCCAGTTCCCCCTCATTTTCCTCTCATTTTCCCCCCTCCAAATTTCCCCCCATTCCCCCCTTCAAATTTCCTCCCCCATTTCCCCCCCATTTTCCCTAAGTAATTTCAGATTAACTGTATTTATATCCCTAAATTTGGTCTATATATTGATTTGGCTATATACCCTTGGTGTGTAGTACCACATTGGGGTAGGGACTCTAGTCACATGATGCCAGAGTCAATGCTCTTAATTTTTAATTTTTAATATCAGGTAAATTAAACACTGTATTCAGGTTTGCTGATGTTTGCTGCCTGCAAACATGCCAACCCAACTGAGCCAGCCCAATCCCCTGTTGGAGTAACAACGACCCGTGACTTACCAACCAACACCACATGATCTCTCTTACATCCGTATTTGCCTTGTGACACAATGTACTGTACTCACACAACCAACAACTGGTTCCCACGGCCTCCGGGAATTGCCGAGGCTCCCAATCAATTCAATTGATTGATTTTTAATTCAATCCAAGACCTTCGTGTGACGCGTGACCGGTTGTTGGTCGTGTTAGTACAGTATATAATTGTATATACTGTTTTTGCTCTACTTTCCTTTTCCCCTCAGTTCTTCATTTACGGAGACTGAGGTTAGTATCATTGTTTTTAGCTAGTTGTTACATTTCTTACTCTGTACTCTTCTGTACTATAGCTCCTGCATTAGCCCTCCTATTATGCCCCATATGTGCAGTATAGCAGCTGGAGAGCACTCTCCATAGATGTTGTGATGCAGAAGTTATGTGTGTTAGAGACGGGCGGATTCAGATGACTCCGGAGTGGAATCGGAGACTTAGTGTGGAGGGACCTTGGCCTCAGCGACTCAAGCGGAGCGCTGTGCCATTGCTGTTTGTCCATTTGGTCCTTAATTTCACAGTAGGTGAGCAGGAAGTCTCTAGGGGGCATTTCAGGTCGATTTATTAGGATGTTAGCGATTTACGCTAGCGTTTTACACTCAGTCAATCGTTGTTGAACTAATTAGATTGGAACTAATTACCTAGCGTTTTATGCTAGGGCACATGAGGGTACATGAGTGACAAGATAAATGTGTGGTAAAAGCGCAGTCTCACCTCAGTCAATCGTTGTTGAACTGAGGGAGACGAAAGTGAAAAATTGTTCACTGCTTTTATAAGCAGTCGCCTCAATGGCGCACTGACTTTGGTAGCAGGAATACCAAGAAAGGAAATATAGTGCCGCTAGCTCAACATCACATTGTGAGTTGGCCACAGCGCACTATAACTCCCAAGAAAACCAAGATTTCAACACGATTTTGGACTGAGCCTCCTACGAGTATGTACAAGCGCCGATATATATAATGGAGGGGGCAAAAGCACAAGGAAACGAAGGGGAACCGAATCGGAACGAAGGCATCCAAACGGGAACAAAGGGATGACAGAGGCGGAACGGTACCGAAGATCATAAGGCAGAACCTGTGATACGTCCGAAAGGAGGTAAGGAGGGCAAGGCCCAGAGGGGAAGTGGGGATGATGACTGACTGGCTAGAATGGGAAGAAGCAGCAGTCCAAATAGGGATGAGGGGAAGACGCGAGAAATACATTACAAGCAGCGAAAGTGCCAAAGATGATCCACGAAGCTCGGAGGTTGCGGAGCTTACGGAGGCGGGGTTGAAAGTCCGAGGAATATTGGCAATGGTGTTTACATAGTATGAGGTCACCAATGCAATGGACTAAGACCAAGGTGGAGTCAAAGTCCGAGGTAGGAACTATGACATGTTGAAATCCTTGTTTTCTTGGTACGCTGTGGACCGTCCATTGAGTCCGTCGGACTATACATCTTGCTCACAGGCATTTCCATGAAGGATTGCCCGATGCTTCTACTTTTGGCATTCATGTTGATGAACGCAGTCGAGGATGGCTTAAAAGCCACCTCGCGCGATTTTTCTCTTTCCTCTCTCCTCAGTTCACATCTTTGGAACTGAGGTGAGACTCCCTTTTCATCACTTGGAATATTGTCTAATCTTGTACATATTTCCTAGCGCTAATTCATGACTAGGTAATGACTAATAATACGAGTTCACATCTTTGGAACTGAGCGCTAATTCGCGACTAGTTCATAATTTCAATATGACAGAGGCTCGGAGCAAAGGTACAAGCGGTGCCCAAGTACAAAGTACGGGTCAGTGGCTGGAGGTCGTAACTTGGCAGGAGGTCGGCAGAAGAGGACCAGAGGGAAGAGAGGGGAAGGAAGAGAGGAGAGGTGTCAGGTCCGAAGGTGGGTATCGGAGCAGACGGGAGAAGAGTAGGAGGATGACGGAAGGGTGGAGGTGTTGTGAGGAGGGAGCGGAGGAGTATGAGGAGGAGTAGGAGGAGGGTGGCGAGAGGGTGGTGTTCGGTCCGAGGTGGTTATCGGAACGGACAGAGATAGGACAGGAGAGTGACGGAGGAGTGGAGGTGGCATGGGAGGTAAAGGGTGGTGTGGTGCCAGGACCGAAGGTGAATATCGGAATGGACAGCGGTAGGGTAGGATTCCGGAGGTGGGAAGGAGGAGGTCCGGAAGTCGGGGCGGGATCGGGTATGCACGGATATGACAATGTGTAGGATCCCCCAACTATTGGTAATATCTGATGGAAATGAGGTCAACAATCGATCCTCTCCATTTGCATCAGTCTCGCTGCATGGTCTCATCATGGCTCAGTACTGACACGAATAATATTATAGATGCATGAAATCACAGGATGCAACAATTACATGATACAGACAAATTGAACTCATTGCGAAGCATGATCACGTTCACATCAGCGAATTCGGGATGAGTTGAGCCTGGCTCGTGCGTGTCACTCCCTACATTTGGGATCGCATTAACAAAGTGTCAGAAGGTACGGAATATTTACACTCACATCTTCGACCCATTCAAGATATGCCTGAAGTTCTGTTCCACCAAATCGGATACCAATCTTGTAATCCAATCGCCAATATCTTCCCTCGGATCCCCAACGTTCCTCGAGGGCCCCAGATAGTCCACTCAGATCCGCAGAAATGGTGCAAACGTCTTCAATCCCCGATACAAGATTTCCTAGACAGTGATATCAGCCTTTCAGCCAACAGCATCCACAAAATATCTACCGGCAGAATCTTTTGCGTAGTACGGCTCCTTCTGCCCGTTTAGAGTGTAAGCGAACATGACACTGGTGATACGACCGAGATCAGGTGAAGGAGTTTTGTAATTCCGGAAGAAAGCTTCCGCGACGCCTTCATCTGGCTGAAGGACGTCCCCCTACAATAAAATTACCGCTATGTCACGTCATTTAATGTAATTCTCGAACTTACAAGCTTGACGATCGGATGCCACACATTGTCAATATTTTCCCGCCCATCGATTCCTCTGAAGGTTGACCGCTCACTGTGCCGCGGATTCTTTGAATCGTACGGCACATATGCAATGCTCCCATACTGGAAGCGGCAAGCTCGTGCAATGACTGAGGTTGTAGCATGCCAAATAACCACACCATCTGACACTGCTTTAGACCTGCGAGAAGATCTTGAGAGGAACAGGATATAGGGTAAGAGTCGAAACTCACGTTGAATCATTTGCAGTGACGACCTGGCAGTGTTTGCTCTCGAACGTCTTCTTAAGCGTTTCTCTTAAAAACGCATTCTCTCCAAAGCCTCCGACAAGCAGAATGTGTTCACAGTTGATACCAGACATTTGCTCTCTCAAAGAGTCGACAATTTGTTTCACGAATGGCTGGAAGAACGTCTTCGTAGTCGTCCTTCGGGTGATATGCTTGTCAATTGTGATGGTCGTGTGCAAAGACGAAAATGATTTACCCATCGAGCGTCATTCGTCCACGCTTCACACCAACCGCTGGGTTGGTGTATCGGGTCTGGCCTATGTCTACGCTCCCTTTAGTCGTTATATCCTTGAAAGCTTTCTTCGCGGTCGTCTCGAAGTCATCTATAGCCTTCTTGACAAAGTCTCTACTTTCATCTGGCGGAAGGTTTGCTTCGGGGTTTGAGAATACGCGGTGGAAGTACTCTTCGGCAGCTTTATTGACGAATATGCCACCTGCTTGAATACAAGCCGATGGTTTGACCTCGCGAAGCTGAAGCTGGGGACGGACTTCTGACACGGAGTACGCGGTTGTATCGACTGTCGATCCACCTGTCGCAGGTCCCGACTTAGCAAGCTGTTCAATGGAAATGATTCAAACCACCTACCAGCATCGCAGACAACAAACTTCACGTTTGGCTAATATATATGAAGCGATTGAGCATCAATGAACTTTGGGATGGCGATTATCCCAGAAATCTTTCACCTTGAATTGTGGTGCCAAATTGGCGTGAAACATGCAGTAATGAACAGAAGCTTCTCCTTCAGTGACAAAGAAAATCCGATTATGCGATTCCGACTGAGGGACAACGTCAGCCGCCACGGCAGCTCTACGCATAAATTCCTGTTCCCTCAGGCCCCATCCATTCGGGTGAGCAATGACAATATCGGCAGAGGGGAAATACGTCTTCCACACACGAGCCCCATCAAGAACACGGTCCGTGAATGCGTCCTGTGTGTGTCTGATAAGATACCCAAAAAAGTCCCTATATATCGTAGAAAGGGGAACGCCCTCCGGCAGGGCTGCGCCGAATTGAGCCAATCAGCAAATTATGGCAGCACTAGAGCCAATAGCCAGTAGAACATACGATCGATGGTCAGATTATGCTTCTCTTTCATTGTTTGAGGGTGTAGGTGAAGCTTGAAATGCCTTGCAAGGATCCAACCATTGTCCTCCGCCTCATCTTGCGTCTCGGCGGTTAGTGCCTCGGCGCCAAACGCGGTGGCCTGATCACGAAGAGAGAGTGGGAGGGTGCCCACAAGATGTGTATACAACATTCACGCGATAGTGAGCTCCACTTACTTTCTTATTCTTGTTGTACCACAACAAGGTCGGGATCTTACTTTCCCCCTTGTGGGCTTCCTGCCCTGGCCATGCATTGACCCTCGCAACTGTCTGTGGACCACTATACAGTGCATACATGACGAGGTAGAGCTTAGCAATACACCACATATCCCATGACCGTGAAGCACACAAAAACGCACTCTGGAAAGAGATATGCATATGATACGCCAGAAAACGTCGTGCCGATATCGAATCCTAGTATAATTTTATGCTTGCCCGACCACGGTTCTGCTGCGAAAGCCTTCACCATGTTGATTTCTTGGGTCTTTTTTGAAGCGCTAGGGCAGTGAGAAGGCGTGAAGAGGGCAAATTGGTTCTTACTCAAGTTGGTTTTACATAGCCTCCTTCCATTCTTCCGCTTCCAGAATTCATTTAGGTATCCCAAATTCCAAATCAGGCAAGTGATCGTGCCTAGCTGCTTCTGGGCGCCTAAGGAATAGCCGATGGGCGCCTCTCTGAATCTCCGGTGGAAGGGAGACTCAGTCCCCGTCAGTGTTTCGATGTCTGAAGGCGTAAAATCTGAATGGACCGTTGAACATGAATAGTTCTCCAATGCTGCTCGTCCTGACTCTCCAAGTAGTATCGGGCTATCAACAACCCCCCTGCAGAGCTTGATAACAATATCAAGTTGCTCCTCCGAATCTAGGACATGCTCATTTCCGATAAATGAACAGGTTGGGTTTCCCTACTTCTTTGCAGCAATTTTATTTCGTTAAGAACAACTCCATGTACAAACCGATGTCTTGCTTGATCATCGCACCATCGACCTCGTACAGCATGCAACAGCTTCTCAACGATATAATGCTCCGGATGACTTGCGAGGATCCGCATGTCGGTGCAACGAGAACGAAATGCTCTTCGCGTCTCGCTTCTCACATTCGTCTAGCCCATCGATAATGATCAGAGTAGTTCTGCCCTCAAAACGCTTTGGATGGCTGAATGAATAGATCGGAGGCATGGGTGTACAGAGATCCATGTGGAAGTGTACTGTCTTCTTTCAGAGTGTCCGCAAAAGCGTGCTTGAACCTACTCTGTTTGTGACGGAAATCCCGAGCAATCCAGGTTTGGCATGCGAACGGTTATCATGCCGCTTTATCCTTGTCGTGTCGCTCAGCGATGATCTGAGCAATGGCTGCCGTGGCAGGGTCCGATTTATCGTAGAATGTTCGCCTTCCTGACAAAGCTCGGCTGACCACTTCGTGAATTGTCGAAGCCAGAACCAGGTACCCAGGGAAGTACACTACGCCGAGCGTAGCACTTCCATGGTGAGGCAAGATCACCTAGTCACCTGGCACATCGACAAGCCGCGCTGAGGTGCCAATGATTTCTTCCAGCTCCGCTAATACACGAAGTTCCCTCATCGGGATGGTCGTGCTTCTAGTGTGATTGAAGGATGGCCATCAGAAATCGTCGATGCGTCACTGCATTAGAATGAATGAAGCGTTTAATACGCGCGCGTCGTTTGTGACCACCGGCATAGAGCCGTCAGCTGGCCACTCACCTCCAAGAAGAGGTCAATCTGCAGCATAGATACGAAAGTTCACTGTGAGTCCCCTCCAGTCTTCCTTAAGGCTTCGTTCGGTATGAAGAAACAGGTTTCTTTGGTCTATTTCTTCCTGTTTCTTTAGGTAGAAAAAAATGGGTAAATATTGAATTGAAAAACTGGAAGAAACAGGCTAAGGAAACCTGTTACCGAACGAAGCCTAAATGTCACGAAAGACGCTTTGACAGCAGGCATCATTCACAAGAACTCGGCGTGTATAACGGGCAACACTGACATCCTGCTGGATGTCGCCTGTGCAAGGGTCTGAAGTACGATATCATTCCTCCGGGTAGCGGAGGCCCCCCTCGAGGCGGGTGCAACCACATGGCAAGCACCTGGATTGCTAACAGCGATATTGTTGTTATATAGCTCTCAGCGGGGACTCGGATAACGACACGTTGATATTGTAACCGCACAGCGGTATAAGTAGTTAAGGTAATAACAGATATCAGACAAGAATAATAAGGGAATGAGATACGCGCAAGCGCTACATGCGGAACGCCGGGAATTAAAAAAATACTGACGATTAGATCTTAGATTATGGTATCTATCTTGTAATCTACTATCCGATTTAGTTAACTTCAAGCATATCTTGAATGGACCGGTGTGAGCGTGAATATTCCATGTCCTGTAATGCCCTCGTTGATGCCATTCGAATGTAGTGAGAGACGCGCAGGAGCCAGGCTCAACTTGAACTCATCCCGAATTCGCTGATGTAGACGCTCGCAATATATGTGATGCGTATTCCGCTGTTTACATGTACACAATCGTTATTTAAATCATCTACTGGGGCCACGGCGAATATTTCCTACTGAAAAACTGTCACGGAGGCCCCGGTCTCAAACTTGAATCGAAGCTTCAAGCAAATTAGAGTATTTGACTGCGCGCTGGGACACACCAAAGTTAAGGACAATCAGAAAAGTTGACCATGGACAAACATGACAAGTACTTGAACATTCACGATGTGCACCGGCAGAATCATTTCCGTAGTACGGCTCTTTCTTCCCATGTGCGTAGAGTATAAATACAAGCACGCATAACACTGGTGATACGACCAAGATCAGAGGATAGAGTTTTTGTGATTCCGGAAGAAAGTATCTGCATGGAATGCCCTCATCCGCGGAAAGACGTCCCCTGCAATGGACCAATGACCGCTATATCATGCCATTCACTGTGATTTTCGAACTTACACACTTGACGATCGGTGCCACACGCCGGCAATATTTCCCCATCCATCAAATTCTTTGAAGGATGATCGCTCACTGTACACAGATTCTTGAATCATACGGCACATATATATGCAATGCTCCCATGCTGGAGGCGGCAAGCTCGCGCGATCGGGGTCGTGACATGCCAAATAACCACACAATCAGACACTGCTTTAGATTTGCGAAAGATGTTCATTGAGAAAAACGGCGGAAATTGGATGGGAGTCGAAACTCACGTAGAGTCATTTACAGTGGTAGTCGAACATCTGTCTGTGGTCTCTTAAAATCCTCTCTCTCCAAAGCTCCGATGAGCAGAATATACTCGCAGTTGATACCAGACCTTTGTTCCCTCAGAGATTCAACAATCCGCTTCACGAATGGCTCGAAGAACGCCTTCATGGTTGTCCTTCGAGTGATATTTTTGTCAGCCGTGATGACCGTATGCTCGCCTCCGTCCCGTTCTGATGCATATGGCTCGATGAGCTACATTTGGGTTTGTCAGCACCAGTAAATTGCCGAGTTCGCCGCATTTGTTCTGCTGAGAAAGAGCTTAGACATCGCAACAGTCGCAAGAACTTTCCGTGGAGAGCCATTACATGTATTACTGGTACATGGAAAGCAGTGACTCATCATGACGTGTCCAATCTTTCAAAGCGAAGTGCATGAGTATTGCAGTAAGGCCCAACAAGAATGAAAATCCAAGTGAATAGGGGAGGGGGGAAAGCAACGGTCTACATAAAGGAGTCCGGTATGAGAGAAGCCTGGCCACGCTTTGTTTCCCCCTATGCGGACATCAACATTCAGCACTCATAAGCGACGGGAAGAACACGGGGGACTTACGTTCTCCGTCCACTCCAAATAGGCACGAAGTTCCGTGTCTCCAAATTCAATGACCACATTATAATCGAGGAGCCAATACTTCCCTCCTTGCTCTCGCGAGATCTTCTCTACCAAGCCACCTCTTAGATTGCTCAAATCTGCAGTGATCTCGCAGACACATTCAATTCCATACTCGGGCTTCCCTACACAAATGGTCAGTGAGATGGAGACACAGATCGTGTGAACGCTTACCGTCTGGATCCAAGGCCCAATAGGGCCCTTCTTCATCTGATAGGGTAAAGGCATAGATTCTTTCCGAGAATGTCCCGAGTGAAGGATTTGAGGTGTGATAAACGTTGTACATGTTTTCTGATACGCCATCCTCAGCCATAATAACGTCGCCCTACAAAAATTCAATACATGCATGTCTCATAACGAAAGAAGACTCACTCTTTCAACCATGGGATACCATTTATTGCTCATCCACTTCACGCCATCCCGTCCAATCACCCAATCTCTTGATCTGTGCTCTGGAACGTTCTCATCGTACGGTATTCCCCTACTATCCCAAATTGGAATCTGCATGCTCTAGCTTTGACCGTTTGTGTAGCGTGATATATTACAGCTCCGTCTGAAACAGCTTTCGCGCTTTGCCAGACCAGCATCTAGTTCAGCTCAAGGACTTGCATTAATTCGACCATGTACGTACGTAGCGTCGTTCGCCGTCATGACCTTGCATCTCCCCCGTCCACCTTCAAACCTGCTGCGTAAAACTTCGCGTAGGTAAGGGCTCTCACCGAAACCCCCTACAAGCAGAACG